TCCCCTCCCGCCCTTCCCAAACCCACCGGCAGCCGCCGGCAAAAGCCCTCCGCTGTCCGGGGCGGTGGGGAGGAGGCTGGGGCCCGGGCTGTGCGGGCGGGGGAGGGGGAGAGCCGGGGGGTGTTGGAAAGCTACAGTCAAGAGGCTTCAAAGAGCTGCACTTTTAAAGTGAGTCAGGGCAAACTCTCGAGCCTCAACGCATTGCAAAGCTGTGTTTGAAAGCCGCGGGAAGCTAAAGTGAAGGAAATAACTGCTTGAGAAGAGAGCGCTGGAGATTTCTAACGTAATTCTCTTGCTAATGTGAACGATTTCAATATTCAAAGTGCCTAAATCCGCTTGTAAAGAAGATCCCAAACTATTCATCCTTTCCCCCCTCCCCTTTCTCCTGCAGGCGTGGAGGGGGGTGGGAGTGTGTGTTTGACTTCTCTGTGGACCCTCAAAGATGAGGGCCGGGGTGTTGAGAGGGAGCGAGAAAAAGAGGAAGAGGTTTTCTCCAAGACCGCGGTAATAAAGCACTAATCACCGCTCCTGGAATAAATATGATAAAAATCAAGTGCTTAGGTTAAAGTTGATCAAAATTATTCAAGCGTGACCAATGAGCTAAAATCCTAGATAATGACTGCACGCCCTGACAAGCCCCTTCTCCCCCTCGTCCACTCGGGCTCGCAGCTCTGCACGGCCCCCGAGTTCCTGTCTCCCACGTAACCCCTTGCTCAAAACTTTCTTACAGATGATCCAAGCAATACAAGTACTAAGGTTTCACCTTTTGGAATTAGAAAAGGTAAGAGCCGCGGAGGTGGGCGGGGGGCAAGCCGTTCCCTCACTGTTCCCTCTGCTCCCTTCCCTCTCCCCCCCAGCCCCCGCCCCCTCGTCTGTTTGGGATGACTTGTAAACATTGCCAGAAAAGATAGGGAAACGCAGGGTGATTCTGCCATCAGAGCATGTGACAGCCGACAACCATGCCCAGCCCAGCCTGGCTTTTTTTTTTTTTTTTTTCCTTTCTTCAGAATAATTTCAACCAAGTCATTAAATATACGTATTATTAAACCTCTTCCATCCTTCTTACTCCTTCCCTCACTAGAAGCTCTTTTCCTCTCTCGGAAATAACATGTTTAACAAAAAGAGAAATGAAAACGGTCCTGCCGTTCTCCAGCCCTGGCAGGCAATATTAACCCTGAGCAAGCACTAAATGTTTGACAGAGGCAGGGGGCCCTGGGCGGCGTGGCGAGGGGGCTGTGCCCTGGGACGGGAACGGCTCTTCCCACAGCCTCAGCCAGTAGCTTCGTTTTGCTCTTGCCGGCCACTGAGACCTTTTTTAAGCCCCGGGTTAAACCGATCCCGTCCCCGAGTGACTAGTTGTACTTGTCTGGGCTGTGTGTGCTCCAGAGATACCGCCTGGGTTCAGCTCCCAGTGTTCTGATGTTATCATCACATAGGATTTTCCTCTGCACACCAGACTGAGCCCACTATCTCTGTCTCTAACTTGTTGCTGCGGCGAGTCTCTAGGGAATAATATGTGCTGCAACAATTTCTCTATTGTTTCCTTGCCTTCAACTATTGTGCCCCTTAATTAGAGTTACTTGTGGAATAGATCAGAGGGTTGTTCTTGCTACCAAAAAAAAAAAAAAAAAAAAAAAAAGGAAGAGAGGTTGCAATCCGGTGTTTTGCCACCTCTAATACTACTACTATTCTTGTTACTGATTTCAGGTTCATGAATTGTGTGATAACTTCTGCCATCGGTACATTAGTTGTTTGAAAGGAAAAATGCCAATAGACCTCGTTATTGATGAAAGAGATGGCAGCTCCAAATCAGACCACGAAGAACTCTCAGGATCTTCCACAAATTTAGCCGATCATGTAAGTCCTTCTGATTATTTTATGGCCTTTTTAAAGATTTTAACCTTCTTAGGACAACCTGTCCTAATTTTATTGTTTTGATGCTCTTGCCTGTTAGTACTGTTATTGTTGCTACTTTAACCTCTTTGCAAGCTTGGATCCCATCTTTACACTTACTTTCCGTTCACTTTGTGCAGTTGTAGAAATGCAAAAAGTTCCTTCTGTTTCCATCCGTAAAGCAGCGAGTTTGCAATGGTTTGTAAGGCTTCCCGGTCTGGGTGGCTGGGATAGCTGCCGGACTGTTGGTGTGATGTAGGGATCGGTGCGTTCTCTTCTTTGCCAACTCTGTACTCAACGCAGCAATGTAAGGAAACAGAGACAAGAAAGTTAGGGAGAAAGTTTGCTGATTTGCTCTCCACTCCCCCCCCCCC